TAAAATAAAATAATCAGTCTGTAATACTAACTTCATTGTAGTTTTGATATGAGGATGGCAATAGATACAGGCAGGAGATGAGATATGATTACAAAAGCTTTACCAGGTTGTTGACAAAAATAGGAGGCTCCAAACTCTTTTGTTCAGCCTCTTTTATATTCTTTAGTATTTACCTTGTCTATCTTTTATTTTACTCACTACCTATGCCTGATTTTGTCTACAGCTCTATTTCCCAACTTATAGTATCTTATAGTATCTTATTCAATATTTTATGTCTTATACTGGATTCTACCTTAGCTAAATCTTGTCTACTTTTTCTTAAATTCACACTGTTACACTCCTTCCTTCTCCAGTCAACTCTGACCAAAGTCACTTGCAGGTAGAGACTTGCTTGCTCTCAGGAGTTGCATTGTAGGACTTTAACCTGCCACCTGCACCTAATGTTTGGGTGTAATGTTGGAGGGGTCAGACAGCCCGCTCTCTGCTGCTGCTTGGACTGCTGCTCTGACCTTTTCCAGTTGCTGCTAGTTTCTGGGGCTCAGTGGGATGTCTGCAGGGTTTCTATACACAGTTGCCAGCATTCTGGGCCTTTCTGTGTAAGTTGTCAAAGGTCTGGATGTCTTTCAACACTCTCACTAGTATTCTAGATTTTCTTAATTGGCCACCAGCACTCCAGCCTTCTTTCCTGTTGCCCTCTGTACAATAGTCCTTTGGGTTTTGCTCTGTGAGTGTGTAACGAAGTGTCTTCTGGAGTCTTTTACTACCAATGCTGCTGCACAGCTGATAATGTTGTTCCTCACTGCCAACATCTGGCATCTTCTTGGGACTTAGCTCCCTCCTCCTCCTCCTCCTCCTCCTCCTCCTCTTCCCATCCAACAGTCCTTCTCTCCACCTTTTCTCCCATGATATTATACTTCCATGATTCCAGTGAAGCCAAGACTTCTTTTAAAGGATTGACTTATGGTTCCTTCATGATGGAGCCATTAAAAAGGTAAAGGAGGATGGAGGGGAATGGGAAATGGAGGACCATGATATGTGAAACTTCTTTCTATAGAGATCTATATCTAACTAGGATGGTACTGATGGCTGACCAAGAACCAAGAAAACTGTGGCATTTTGATTTTACTGCAACTTTTTTCTCCTTTAAAGAAAACCAATTTGCCAAAAATGCCCAAAGACAAACCATCTCCAATTTGAAAATTTCCAAAAATGTATTAGCCGTATACAAACACTATTGGTAAATAATTTCCCATTTAAATATATTATTATTCTTTATCATATTTACCCATCCTAAAAGAAGTGATAATGACATAAGGACAGTTTTATATTTGTGTTGGTCTTGATTACAATAAAATTATCTGATCAATACATACAACATATTTCTTACCCTGCTTCTCTGAAATCTTCCCTTCAGGACACAGGATACAGTCATAGCAACAAAACAGTTTCCCCTCCTTTACTTTCTTGCTGGTACCAGGATGGCAACTCTCACTGCATACTGAAAGGGGCAGGACCTAATTATTAATGGGAGAAAAAAGCACCATGATTATGTTAGGATAAGTGATTTTACACTGCAAAACTGTGAAGGTCTTTCCCATGTGTGTGCAGTGTTGTTATGCAGGTTCATTCTATAATGCTTCGCTTTACAATAAAAATGTTTAGCTCATACACCATACATGGGGCTAATAATCTGGATGCAACCAATTGTCTCTTGATTGGTAAAGGAAGGTTATTCAGAATAATCTGCTGGTTATTTTCCCTTGACCCAGTTCTAATACTGAAAGGGAATGAGATGAGACCCCACTGAAATTGCTTCCTCATCACTTCTTCTATGAGAACTGTAATATCCTTGATGCAGTGTTTATATTTTATAACATGGTGATAGAAAGAAACTTCTGGAGGCTTATGCAACGTACCAGTTTCTACGCTCTATTTTCAACTAAAAATATGTTCTAAGGACTGAGTACTATTAATGAAATTAGCATTGCATTGAAGGAATAACACACAGTACCCAATTAAAAGTTAATTTACCAACTGTCTCAAATCGACTCTTACCTGATTAAACCAGCTATGCCATGTTATGGCATCTCCATGGATGGTGAAGGCTTGTTCTGGAGGAGCATGAGGATCCATCCACCCAACTGTCACTTTATGGAAACTTTGGTTAAGGGAAAAAATCCAGTTGATCACATCCAGTCCAGCTACTAACTCCCCATTCTGATCAAAGGAAATGTTCTCTCCAGCACTCTTAAATGAGACTCTTCTCAAAAAACGATGAAGCTGAATTGAAAATAAGAGGCTAAGAGTAGGAAGATTACATATCAATACGTATAGATATCTACCTGGTTGGAATCAATTTGGGGATATATTTAAAGCCAAAAAATGTTTCATCATAGATTAATTTTAAATTCCACTTAAAATCTCAAGTAAAGGGTTTCAATCATTCTGGCAGTCTCTTGGATGGTGAAACAAAAACTGTTTGATGATAAAACTTAGTGGTTAACATCAAATCCATCTATTAATTTTCCATTCTGGTTTTTGCCATCAGGATTGATGTTAAATGAAACACCACTTGGGGTTCATTGCCACATCCTCATAATCATAGTACAAACTTAACTGTTTAATGGCTTTTATGACATGTCGTAATGTATTCATCTCATCTCCAGCCCACAGATGAGTCAGCTTAAAGTTGTCTTTTTAGCTGGTACAGGTTTAAAGCAGTGTTTTCCCTTTTCTCCCAACAGAGTTTTTTTGTCACAGATACAATCTATTGTTCTTCATTGATCACGACTGATGACCCAGTCTAGGGCTGGGATTTGCCTGACTTATATTGGCCATATGGCTCAGAGACCTGAAGCAGACTGATCAGCAACTGACAGGGGTGGTTGTGCACAGGGAACACCTGCTTTAGAGTACAACCTCCCACTATGCCAGTCCACAGTTAAATTTAACAATATAATATTTACTTCACTTTACTCACCAAGTCTTTGATTATGCAGCTGCTAGGACTGAGAGGTGACAGGAGAATCTGAGAGAGACCAGTATTTACCTACCAAAACCTTGATTGATCTGCAGTTGATTTACAGGGTGTGGAGGTGTTTCAAATATTTCTGAGAGTGCAAGTAAGGAGCAGATTTGATTGACAATATGTTTAGATTATGTTAGATTCAGGTATGATTTAATACGTAGTTTGAGCATTGCATTTACCCACTCTATGATGTCATGTTTCAATTCGTTCCAGACTTTGGCTCACTAGTAAGTGAGAAATTGGGTGTTTCCCTCACATATTACCACAAGTTGTCTGATTCACTTAAGCAACCCAAGTTAGAGGTCAACACCTATTCAGCAACCTGTACCCAAGATGTTAGGAGTGATGAAGTGGCAGAGCACCAATCAAAGTGTGTTGCAGTTAACAAAGGCCTGTATATACACCCACGTACACACATACATACAGTGTGTGTGTGTGTGTGTGTATGTATTCACACACACACAGAGTGCCATGACAAGAGAAGCCCCTGCATGGGATATACCATCGCCAGACAGCTGAAATGGCTGACATTGGGAAATCCTACCAGTGGCTGGAAAGGGCTGGACTCAAAGACAGCACTGAGGCACTGATCATAGCAGCACAACAACAGGCACTAA